AAAAAAAAAAAAAAAAAAAAAAAAAAAAAAAAAAAAAAAAAAAAAGTGTTTCCGCGACAGATATTCTTTTTACAATAAGTAATTCTATATATCCTTTGATCTCTATCGATTTGCAACATCCTTCGTTGATACTTGTCGCTCGTGTAATTACCAACGATGATCGATATCATCGACAATTTTCCCCTTCTACCTGTCAATTGTGTACTATCGCGAATGTTTCCTCGCTTGACGTAGTATCTTTCGGCAAGGAAACCTGGCTGGATCACGTATTCGTCTGAGCCACGTGTATAACGTGTTCCCTCTCCAACCGCGTGAAATTTCATTCGCGCAGAAAAAACGTGTTTTACAAAAAATGCCGACTGGAAATGAAATTGAAATATAAATGTCACCGGTTATTTAAATGAGAAAGAGAAAGAGGGAGAACAAGGGATGATAATCAAGCAAATCGAGCAACGGTCCAGGTGCATCGGCTCACTGTTGTGACCCCAACCTTTTCGATCGTGTAACGAACAGCTTTTTTTTATGACCTTCTATCGATATTCCCGCGACACGAGTTTCCGTTTCATGTTTTTTATCCCACCCCATTCTTGTGTGCCGGGCCAATCCACGAATATATCTCGAACGACACAGAAAACGGTTATTACGCTTCGACATGATATGGCGAATAATAAGTTGGAAATACAATGGACCCTCGATCTTCGAACGGTTTGCATCTCATCTTCGAACAAAATCTTAAAATCCGAGCAAGAAGTCGGAGTGACTCGAGAGCCGAGAACGAAAACAAAGAGTTGGGTACCTGAAAGGCAACTGAAATGAAATTTTACTCGTTTATTTCATATTGTTTGACGATTAAAGTTACAACATTTTTCTGTACTGTGCAATTTTTCAATTTATATTAAATCAATTTAATTTCGACACATTTAATCTGAAATCGATTTAACCATTGATTTAAATCATATTGTTTTTTTTTTTTTTTCTTTTTAATATAACATTTGAACTCGAGTATCGTTTTCCCAAAACTCCCTCCGCAGTTCGAGGGTCCAGTTTCTGCACTTTCGAGATCCTTCTTCACCGTATCGTGAAGCACGCTTTATATATCATAGTACATAATGTATATTATGTAGAGTAACATGTTATATATGTATGTTTCGCGTGGATTCCGTCGCGATTCAAAAGAGAGCACACTTACATAAACAGATCGATAAGCAAGTAAAGACGATGTACTTATATCTATCGAGACGCTGCTTCCTTCAATCGAGAACGCGAAACTTTGCAACTTGTCGCGAACAAGGAGGGGTGGATTAAACACGAAACAAGCGGCGAGAGAAGCCACGCCACAGTCGAACGGGGTCGTCGATCAATTTTCGACTAGATTTCCGTTCGTTTGTCGTCATTCGTTGCAAGAGCAATTTTAAGAGAATTTCTTTTAGTTGTTCTTTATACTTATCGACGATCTCGCCGGCAGTGTCCGTACGATTCGAGGACGTTTCGATTAGCGAAAGAGACGATTCTCGTCTCGTTGTTTCAGTTTCGTTCCAGTATCGATGCACCTGAAGAAACCTTTGGAAAGTTGAGGGAAAGATGATGATGGACGATCGGGAAGCGTTTTACGCCCTGCCGTTTGGCGATCTTCCACGGGACGGCGAGGCGGATGGCGATGGATCCGGGCTGCATCCGTTGCTGCTGCCGCGGCGACTTCCGGTGCCGCTTGCTTTTAGTCGTACCATGGTGTCCAAATGACGAAATCTGAAATTACTCCTCTTAGTTGATAATTGATACAACGGAAGTTGACATCTAGACAGCCTTGTGGACATTTCGTGAGACAACGGGATAATTTTTGGATCGTTGTTGAGGAAATCCGATCTGCAAAAATCTCGAAGTGAAGAGACGAAATTTCGGGAGAATTTTATAGAAAGAAGAGTTTCGAGAATACCTTGCGTAGAACGTAGAAAAATTCTTCAACTTTGGAGAATTTCGGAGAATTTTAAAGAAGTGAAATTGAAAGAAACGTTCAAGCCGCCGAAGAAAATATCTGTCTAGTTGAGAAAGTTTCGAGAGATAGAAAAAGAAACTGACAGAAAAACTTCGAAAACTTTCCGATCGCAAGATCCTTCATCTAGAAAGGAAGAAAAGGGATGATAATTTTCAAGAGTAACGTACCTCAGAGATAATTCGCTGGTATCGGCGGTATCCTTCATCAAATACGCCAATGGCCACGATATCCACGAGCGTCTAACGTCAGACAAGCTAAATCAGTGATTTTGTCAAATCTCTCTGTAAATCCAATTTAAGGGCACACGTTCAGATCTTACGTTGCAGTGTTCGTAGGATTCGAGCCGATGCCACCGATCGTTGCTTGAGTATCGAGTTTCGCCCCTGTCCTGTTCGGCGTTTTCGTGAAACCAGGCTGAATCGCAGGATCGGACACCATGCGAACGAAGAAGGACCTTCTCTGCTCCAAGGTGGCTTTCCTCTTCTTCTCGCGGATGTCTGCCAGCTCGTCCATAACATCCTGCAATTCAAGATAAGG